TACAATATGTACAGTGCATATTTTCTTTATTACGGTTGAGTATGTCATTTCTCATACTGACATGTGAAAGTAAGAGCTCAAAAATGGAACAAAAGCTTGAAAATGGAGGCCAGTGCTATGTTTTTAACTTAGAACTTCAGTCGTCAGGGTTGTTGCGTGTTGCCTTTGTAGGATGCCTGTTTGCAGTGTTCTTCAGGCGAGAGACAGGGTACATTCTGTTTAACAGTGTTTCCCAAACCAGGTCTTCAAGGCACACTGCCCTTCATTATGTTTCTCTGCTTTACTTTGCCTGATTCAGCTGATTGCAGTTCAGCAAACACCTGTCAGTTGAAATCACCTGGGCTGAAGCAAGGAAACGCCTAAAACACGGAGGGCAGTGTGCCTTGAGGACCAGGGTTGGAAAAAAGCTGCTCTATAGGTAACCAAAACATTACATGACCTTGCAATGTGTTGCAAGCATGGCAGCAATCACCTTAAGGAAGAGGTGACATTTTAAAATGCCTTTAGCCCCTTATAATATTGATGAGCACAGCTACTATGGTTTACATCACTGCAAACATCATAATGTAGACCATGAGCTTATTGCTGAGACTTTCAAAAGGCTTCCATGTTTCCAAATCCAGGATGTTGAATGAGAAATATACTGGATATAATATTTTATGTCTGAAAACCACAAAAGATGATCATCCTCTGCAATATAATGAAGTTGGCTGAGGGTCAATTTAATCTGATCAGAAATAAACTTGTTGGTTTAACAAAAAATATCTCAAATGTAATTCTGCTGGGTTTAGTTTTTCGTTCTTTGTCTGAGGTGTTTTTATTGAGCTTGTGTGTTTGTGTCCTCATTTAGAATCTATCCGGTCATGCTCCAGTCAATTGGTTTGTAAAATGTGCTTGACACACACTGCCAAATACAACTTCTGCACAATCTTTTCTCTTTTTGTTCCAGGGATACTAGGGCTCGCCGTTCCCAAACTTTACATCTCTCTTCTTCCCTCTCTCCTTTCTTCCAGCTCTCCTCCCCCTTTTCCCACCACCCGGTTCTGGCACAGCGCCAATCTTCCTTGAAAATTCCTTGCATCTGGTCATTTCTGGGAAACACCCACGACAGGCCTGTCCAGCAAGCCACAGGAAACAAAGCCTCTTGGTTTTATGCCTTTGTTTCTTTTTTTTTTTTAACAGAGGCTTGATGAACGACAGTAGTCGCCAAAAGGAGAAGGTTCTCATAAGAGTGGGATGTTCCCAACTTTCCAAGAATTGTTATTTTTGAAAGGAACATTGAATAGTCCCCTGCTGTTTTAAGAAAGTTTTACTTCTTTGTATTGATATTGTTTGTTTCCGAACTCGATGGGAGAAGAAATGGTGTCACCAGAACTGCCACATTTGGAGCTGTATTAGGGTATCTACAAAGCAATACCATCTGAGTGATATTTATAGTTTTCTGATGCAACTCACTGAAGAGAACAATGGCTGATAAATATGAGATAATTAAAAAGGTACAATAAAAGCTTTTCCTGAAGTGCTCTCATTACGTCAAAAAAGCCTCTGTGTGTCATTTTCTTTCCTCATGCCTCATTTTTCTAAAATAATTTGCCACTTCTTAACAACTTCAAGTGACTACTACACTCTCTGCTGTCTATTTCTGCCTTAAAGACTTGTGAATGACTCACTCTTGCCCTCAATTTAGAAAGTGAATAAACAAGTGCTAGAGGAAGACCTCAGAACAGAAGAGTAGCACATGGGCCTCTGCTTTGATTTATGAAAGCATTAGGAAGAAATGGTTGCAGAAAAAAATTAGCTAATATTTCTCAGTTGTGGCTTTCAAGTTTGTGCAGCATTTGAAAGAAACCATTTCTAGCATGGATCTGATTTAAAATCAAACACACTTTGAGTAACTGAACACACACAGGTGTATCTCAAAAAATGAGAACAGTGTGAGAAAGTAGAATTGTATTCAGAATGTGAACCATTTTGCATTTATTTCATTTAGTGAAATATTTCTAGACTTCTTTTCTTACAACTTAATAAAAATGGCTTGCGTATGATCGACACAATTTAGTATTTCAGAACACTTGAATAAAGAGATATTTCGAACAGAAATCTCAGTTTCTGAAAAGTATGTTTATTTCTATGCTCAATAGAAATAGTTCTTGCTTTTGCTTAGTGCTGCATAGATGTGTAGAACAGAGGTGACAATGCTTGAGTCTGGTGTTTCTCATTTTCCTCTCAACAATAACTTGTTGAGGAGGTTCAGGTCCGGCCCAGTTTGTGAATCCAGTTCAGCAGAGCAACACCATGGCCTTCGAAGCAGCTTTTGGTGACTTTGATGGAGTGGTCAGGTGCTAAAGTCCTGCTGTAAAATGACATCAAAGTCTTCATTGTCACAAGAAGAAAGCATAAAATGCTCTAAAGTTTGCTGGAAGATGGCTGTGTTGACTATGCACTTTAGAAAACACAGTGGACCAGCAAACACCTACTCTGAAACTTTACACTGGAATTTCAGTATAATATATTATAAGCCTCTCTTCCTAAATATTGTGGAAGATTCACTTTAAAATGCAATGCTCACTTTAATAAAAAAAAAAAAACAGACTTTAAGCTACTGACGAACAGTCCATTTTTTTCGGCATAGCTCAAGTAAGACACTTCTCACCTTGTCTTTCATTCAGGAGTAGTTTAATGTGATGAATGTCAGACTTGTAGACTATGTAGGATTCATCTGCGTGCGTTTGCTCTTGAGGCGCTGACTCCAGCCTCAGTCCACTTCTTGACATGTTGACTTGGGCTCCAATGTCATCAGATCTCAATTCAGTCGAGAATCTGAGGTGTTAGGAAAACATGGCAACTCTAGGATGGCACACCTTGCACCATAAAACAATCTTCTGCCAAAATCTTTGTGCCAGATTTCTTTATTTATATGCCGCACTTCAGCCTGCTCTGCAGACAATGCCAAGATTGTATTGGGGAAAGTCTGAAAGTCCTCACCTGGTAGTAATTTGATTTGTGTTGTTGAGTATTGGGGCACAGGTTCAGTTCTTTAGTTTCAAGAGTCAAGTCTCAGTTCCCATCTCTTAATTCTTAATGGACTGATGAATATTAATGGTTTAACTGACCAATGTCTTTCATGACACTCTGTTGTTTCAATTTTGTATCAGATGAGATTGACATTCCAAAAAATAAAAAATAATAATTAAAACAAAATGGAATGTGTTTTTAAATGAACAAAATTGATTTAAAGGAATAGATTTCCTATTAGAGAAACACTATAAAAATATGGGTGAGTGGTGGGGACCTGAGAATGGGACTTGTACCTCAACACTTCTTTTGCCATACAGCTGACTTGATCAAATCCTGGTCTTTGCTTGTTTTTGCACTGCCCCAAATAGGAAAATATTCAACCTTAATATTTGAAAAGTTACATTTTGTATATTATTTGCTTAGACAGTGGTTGAAACATCATCTCTGTCTTTAAATAAAATTGTCAGAAACAGCTTGGTTGGATGTAGTGCTTCATATTATGAAACACATTTGTTGTCTCATACATAAATTGGATATTAGTCCTACCTTTTGCTGTTAAAGATATATACTTTTGTTGAAAACATAACTGTTGGCTAGATGAAATAAATCTGTGTGGAAATATATTGCTCTGCCGGTCTGTTCCACGGCATGTAAAATAGTTTTTAAAAAAATATTGTGAATCTGCGTAATACAGAGATGGCTTTACCTTTCAGTGTGTACACTGGCATAAAGAAATATGAATCTGTTTTCCATCTGTGCTTACATCTTTCTGTTATACTTTAGCTGTGTGCCTTTTCTGATTTACCTTCTCCATTGGTCTCTGTCTCTCACAGGCTGTGTTCGAGACCTTATGCCTTTCCACATTTACTGAGAGTTTGTGTCAAGTTGAAGCACAGGCTGTTAATCTGGTAATCCTCAATCAATACCAGCCAAGTCTCTCTTCTTCAGATAAAAGTGGGCTATCTGATAATTATATTTCCCTCTCCATGTCTGTAAAAGGTTGCCCTTTCGTTCTGTGCTTTGTTGTGGTCCTTGGGATTCTTCTGAAGGAATCAATTCTATCTGATCACATTTAAAGGCCCTTTTATGCAAACAATACTCATTGAATAAGCATGTAACATTTGCACTGCATTATGTGTCTTGAATCTGAAAACATGTGCTTTAAAAGTGATAGAAAAACATGGAGATGTGCAGAATGTTTTTGCAGTGCAACTCTTTGATTGACATTGGTAGATATTGTTAAATTGGGTGAAGGCACTCTTTAATATTCAACCACTAGCATAGGATATTTATAACAATATTACAACATTTTTGTCAGGCTATGAGACATCCAGAGCCACAGTTTTGTAGCTAACTTGAAACTATTCTCCACAGAGGAGTAGCTCAAAATGACCTTAAGGTGAAGCAAACGGCTCATTGCTTGATATTGCACACAACTGTGCAATATGGCAGTTGTTGCTTACAGTTTAGGATTCCTACAAAGTGTCCTTTCACATAGAGCCAGGTAGATTCAAAGAACTTGCTTTCCCCTTAAAAATCTTAATTTACTTAGATCATCTTTTTTTCATTTGAAATTTCTTTGGTCTGAAACATTTAAATGAGATACAAACACAAAATTCAATAAATATGTAAGAGGACAAAGAATTATTTTGCAGCACTGTTTGTACAGTCTAATCCTGCTTTTTCATATTTTAAAAGTACAATTTATTTACTTCTGATTTGCAGTTTTAGTGCACAATGCCAATTGTCTTATTTTGACTGTGCAATATGTGACTCCTTGGCCTCGATTGTAATAGAAAAAGTTTTATTTAGCAAACTTTTCTGGTTTTGAGAATAAGTTTAAAAATAGGGTTAGAGAAACAATTCGTGTAAAGACACTGTGTTCCATGTGGTAGCTCCTTGTGCAGCCAGTAGGGGGAATCGACTACTCGCACTGGCTCCAACCCCTCTGGTCTTCACTCCTCTTCCCCGTGTTCTCTCAGGTTGTGGAAACGCTGCAGCCCGCTGGTCTGTGTCTGGATCCCTCACTCGCACAGAGCTGCTCAAGACCCTCCCACCGGCTGGGCTGGGAAAGGAGGAGGCAGTGTGTGCTCTGTTAGTAGCTTCGAACGAGCCCCCTTTACCACCCTGTCAGTGTGGAGGAGAAGGAGAGAGAGAGGCTTGGATACTGAGTGACAGAGGAAGCACACGCGAGAGAGTCAGGCTGCTTCGATGAGCGAGAGAGCCGAGGAAGAATAAGGAGCACGTTTTATAGAAGCAGATAACAGGATCACAGACGAGGGACTTCAGGACACAATTGCTGTCTTTTTTTTGTAATCACTTGTCTGCTAACTGGAACTGTCGGATTGGTTAACCAACCAGTGGATTTTTGAATATTTGCCTGTGCCACATCATTTAAAAACTGGGATCTTTCTCTTTTATCTGTGCTCCTGCTGGCTCCTCTGCTACAGACTGATTGCTTTCCGTGTCTGTGTCAAGCTCTGTTGTTGTGAGACAAAGTGCATCTGTTGGCAACTGGCACTGACGATATCTTCTTCTGTCAAGCAGGACAGACATTGTCAAATCAGAGGAGAGAGAAAGTGTACGTGTGCGTGAGTGTGTGTGTGTGTGTAAGAGGTGGGAAAGACAGAAAGCGAGAGGCAGTGAGAGAGTGCGATTAAAGCCAAGCCAAAGGACTGAAGTGAACAGCTTGAATAGAGAAGTGACCCTATACGTCCTAACCCGTTTTTCCTTGCCATTCCTTTCCTCCTCCTCTCCTCCTCCTTTTCCTCTCCCATTCTCAACATTCTTAGGACTGCCAGAGCTACTGCCACCTGCACCTCCTTGCGTCTCCTCTTTCCTCTTCCTCTTCTACCTCACCCTAACTATCCAGTCGCGAACTCGCCGCTCTCCGTTCTTGGCACTTTAGAAAAATATTTCTGGTCTATCAGTAAGTGGGCACCTGCCTGGTACCAAGTGTCTGGAACAGCGAGGCAAAAGTAATCAGGAGCTCCCTCATCAGAGGCGGACCTTCTCGGAAGCCCAGTCCGACACACAGATCTTGCCTTCTCCCCAGAGGACCGGCTTGCAACACACTGGTGCAGACAGCAAAGCCTGGAATTGCACAGCCCCACCGTCGCCTCCACCACATTTCTAGCTACTTGGCAGCTCCCGCCCCCGTGTCACCATTCCCTGCCTCAGTGCTAAGGATTCCAGCTACATGGGCAAGCGATTGGAGCAGCAGCCAATGTACCCTCAGTACACCTACTACTACCCCCACTATCTCCAAACCAAGGTATGATGCTCTTCAGCTGTTCTTTGATACCCGTTCATGCGATGCACTCGTGCACTCTTGTCCAGCCTCCCTCCCACTCTTCCTCATCCCTGGGGACCCCTCCCTCTTCTTCCTTCCTCTTCTAAATTCACCCTCCACACCATCCCCTCATCTCTCACCAGAGATGGGATTTGGTGGATAACTGGCCTTGGCTGTGATGGTTTAACGGCAGGCACTTCTTGAGGGCTGGACGTCTATGTTAGTCTGTAAGCTTGTGTGTGTGTGTTTCCGTGCGCATATATATCACTGAGTGAACAATCAAGGATAAGGGATCAAGGTTGAATGCTCTAGGCTACTGTTAGTCCACGCTTGCAGACCGTGACTGAAAGCTGTCCATTCTTCACCGGAAAGATGCTGAGCTTCCAGTGAGATTGTTCAGTCTAACATGTTAGATAATGTTCATTTTAGATTCAGTCATTTAATCAAAACCATCAAATGACAGCTTTTTTTGTTCTCTCATACATTAGTCAAATGAAAAAAAAAATTAGGATCCAAAAATTAATTTGCTAATGAAGTATTTTAAAGCTTAATGTAGGCCATTGTTTAAAAGCTTAACTGACGCTTTTCTGTGGGAACTAATTACAGCGTGAAGTTGATGAATCACATAAGAGCTGAAATGTCTTTTTGCATCGTAGGTTAATGAAACATTTCTTTTGTTATTTCTTTTGATGGTTTGCTTGTGACATAGAGCAGACATGGGGTAGGCTCCCTGTGTTTGTTCAAGCTGTAGTATGCATCAGTGCTTTTGGGACGGCAGCCCAGGCCTGGGTCCTGATGGCTGCCAGGACACTGGCTGGGCACGCTACCCAGACATCATCAAGGGATTAAAATGGAAGCCTTTTGGGGATTACTCTATTTGTTTTTCCACCACAATACGTAACACTAACTTCTGTCTGTTTTAGTGGCATCATGATTTATAGCAGTGGTTGAAAAGCGTGCTGCAGGTGTGCACTTAAACAATTAAATGATCAGGTCTTATTTGATTTTATTTATAGTTTTTGATTCATTTATATTTTTTGTAAAGTCCTTCTTTTTCCCACATTTTGTGTCTTTACCACTACAAATTGAGTGGGCTTTTAATTTTTAAACCGCAAGGAAGTCCATGAAAAGGAAAATGATGGTTTTAAAATTTTACTTTATCCACAGCTGCAGGTATTTAGAAGTTTGTGTCCACCACTTGTGCACATATAGAAACTGATATTTTACGCACGCTTCTTTGCAACATAAGTTAAACTCCGACAGATAGAAAGACATTTGTAAACATACATATTGAATTTTCAACAGCGTAATGGGATTTCCTTGGTTCTCAGTGTTTTCTTTGCGTTTCTCGTCTTTCCATCGGCTCGGGGACAGGAATGCTCCTGGCCGTCACCATCATCTACCAGTACTTTCAGATCTTTGTTATGACAATTACTGTAAACACAATCTGCAATGACTATTCCTATGAAACATCTGACCACTGACGAGTATGTATTCACCAGAAAATAAACATAGCAATAAGCCCAAGGATTTTTTTCATAACACTTATGCACCGAATCTTTTCAGCTCTGCCCAGAAGATGTAAGAGGTTGTTTGGGTTTGATTACAAAGCAAATCCTGGGCTTGATTGCATGCTCTTTGATGTTTTTTTTTTATTTTTTTTTTTTTTTTGCATCTGCTGAAAGTAATTTGTATAAATCATTTTCAAACTATGCTCAACAGGAGGAAAGTTGAAACATTTCAACCTTGTGGTTTGAACAAAAATAAACAAGTAAATAAAATTAAGTAAAACTCGATAATGATAGTTTTATCCTTTCCCACATGAACATTTCAACCTCCAACTGGAAGGACCTAACTGCAGCCCCACCTGGCAGTCCACTAGCTTTCCCCCTGATTTATAGTTTAATACATTTGTACTGCTGCCATATGGCTTCCCTCTCTCTCATCCATGCCTTTGCTACTCCCTCTATCTTTCCCCTCTCCTTCCCTCCCTCTTCTCATATCTCAGAGCTGCTCATCTCAGGGGCCTCTCAATCAAAGCATGCTCCTTCATTCTCCCATGCTCTCCCTCCCTCTAGCTACTTCCTCTCTGCTCCCACTGTGTGCATCCCCACACTGTTGCAACAAACCCCCCTTTCCTCCTTTGCCCGTGCTGCAGTTCACTCCCAAGGTCAACGCAGATCCAATCTTGCAACAGTCAGCATTCAATGTATCCTTGAGGAAGCCACTAAGGTCTTGTGTCACAAAAACCGCACCCAAAGTGGGCAGCACAGAGCTAGAAAAACACGCATTCTTGTCTTGGAGTTTGGCAAGGAGCGTTTATATTTGTTTTTATTATTAGAGAGTGTGGCCTTGTTGGTTAGAGTCAGTAGAGAGGAAGAGAGGCTGGGAGAAAGGCCAGCGCATTGGGCAATGTGGCCAAGTGGGCTTTAGAGCACCATGTCATGCTCTCATTAATGATCATTGATAGCTCGATTACAGTGAGGGGAGACGAGCCTCGGCTGGCAGGTTAAACCACTTGACATAATCACATGGTAGTCACTACAGCCCTACGTTTATGTAAAATTTTACAGCATAAACACTATTTATAGAGCCATATCCTTTGGAATCATTTACTTTTCTCATCTTTGTTGTTGCTGCATTATCGATGTATTACCCCACTTCCCGAAAGACACAAATGAGGGAGCAAACATATCTTGCTTAAATTGCAAGAGAACAAGTAATATCTCCTATCTTATTTTTATTTTTTTCTCTGCTCTTTATTTTTCTGTACTCACAAAAATTTTCAAATCATGGTAGCAATTTTTAAAAGTACTTTATCCTGCTGCAATTAATAACATTGATTTAAATGTCTTAAAAATTTCAGGATTATAGAATATTTATGTCACTCAAATTTCATTCAAATTTTGAAACTATACTGTTAAACTTTAGAGGTTGTTCCAAATCAGACAAAATATATCTACTGGCCATTTTATTAAGTACACCTTAGTACCTCTTGGGACTTCATAACTCCTTCAATTCTTCATGGAATATATTCAGTGAGCAGCAACAAGTACTGGAGGGGCACCCCAGTTCTAATCTGTGCTTCACACAGCTGGAGAAAAGTGAAGGTACTTCTCACATTTTCAATAGGACTTTAAACAGTAGGGAGAAGATTGAGCATTTTATCAGTTCTCAAGCTGTATTTTTTACCAAACCTTTGTATAATCTGATACCATTAACCTATACTCTTATAAGTACTTCACAAAAGTCTAATTTACAAATGTACTTTTAATGTTTTTGGGCTATAAACATGTAAAGTTTAGAAACTGTCAAAAAAAAGGGTTTGTTGAACTCACACTTTTTGAGCCTATTCAGGTTCCCCTTAACCTTTTCGGTTTAAATAATTAAATAAAAATATAAATGAAGAAAGTCATAATACACTGAAAGATCTTGAGGCATCTCTACATTGTCCTCTTTGTGTATGATCTGCTAATGAGACGTACATCCAGCATGTCTCTTTTCGTTGGTATTAGAATGTAAAAGTCGCAGAATGGGATGAAACAATAACATTTGGCTTCCTATTGATTAGTGCAGCAGGGTGTAGCATGTGCTTCTCTTTAGCTGAATTATTGATTCCTGAAGGAGGATTTGTGTGTTTGTGTGTGGCTTTTATATGAGGTTATGGCTGCGGGGAGCTGGCAGGATGTTGCTTTGATGAAAGAATCCTTTCAAAGGGGGCCTATTTCTGTCTATTCCCGGGATAATCAGTGCATGGAGTTATTTGCCAAATTTCAACCTTTTATTCACCCTCTTTTATTATTGGCCTAATGGCACGGGTGGTTCACAACTTGTCGTAAATTCAGCTGTAATGATACGCAATGGATGGGCATCCTAAATAAGAAAATTACTGTAAAAAAGTAATTCATGCAAGTCTCAGCATAGCATTCTCTCCTCCCGAGAACTATTATAGCTGTCGGTTATTATTAATAAAGACCATATTCAATGAAAAAATACATTTCTTACAAAAATCTGTGCCTGTTATTGTTAACAAGTGTTTCATCAAGGCCATGGCCTGTTTGGGAATTTTATTATATAAGCATATTGAGTAAAAATGCCACAGTTTCATGGTGTTGTAACAGTTATACAAAAATTAAAGACTAAAATGAATCTCTTCTAATTTAATTTATTTGAAATTGGAAATTGAAAATTCCCACTACGACTTATTACAATTATACTGCCATGCTGAACATTCATTTGTTCAATATGACAAATAAATGTTCAGAAAAATTAATGGATAAACAGCTTAGTTTAGATATAGCTTTCAAGTTCAAATAGCACAGAATGTTGTTTTCTTTTTTTTTCTATTTTGCTATTTGGAGAATAACAGAAATGTAACTAATATTTGCTCATTAATTAAGGCTTTCTGCACAGGCACCCTGCCTGCCTGCCTGCAGAGGGCCACCTCTTGCACTTTCCCAGCTGTAGTCTTAAAACATTGACACCATATATGAAGCTTGAGCTTTTTAGTTTCTCCATATCTGCAAGTTGCAAACAGAAATATAGCCAGTTGAGCAACAGCGAGCAGCAACAGGTAAAGGAAGAGCAATGCTGGATTTGTCTGTACTCCACAGTGTCATAGAAAACAATAATGTTTTAATGAAAACAATTAATTTAATGTTTTCCCTACTTTCAGCCAACTGATCAGCAGCAGAATGAAACCCTTAAACTATTGCTTTAAGTCCTCTCATTTGTGACGCTGTACCTTTTCTGCTGTTACACTCCTGATAAGCGAGGTCATTACATGCCTAATGTGAGGTATCACAAACAGCCGACAAAGGGGAGTGTGGTTGAGATGTGGTAGCGGGAAAGCTGTGCTGTAGTCAGCTTACAACAGAAGCTGAGAAAAGGGGCAGCTTGAGGTAGATTTAGCTAAGGCCACTGTCCCTGGCCTTGAGTAAACACAAGTCAATGGAGGCCTTTGAGGGGATCTATACATGTGT